ATACATATTTCTGCTCTGTGTGGAAAAATTAGACTCACAGTTTTTCATGTTGATGAATTCCTTTGTGTGCTATTAGTAACAAGGATGTTTATTAGCATGTGTTATACTTCTATATCTTTGTAACTCATAACAGCAGTATAGTAAAAGGACTGTCCCAAGAGCTGTCCAGACTATTACTTTTAGTTTTAGGATAAAATTTATATCACTGAACAAATCTCAAATCACTAGGGAAAACCTGCTTTTTATTGGCCTTGCTGGTTATTAACACTTGAACAATTGATGAAGGTATGTGATGAGTTTTCCATCAACTGAAGTCTTTAAATAAAGATTTGATGTCTTACTTAAATATGTGTTCTTTTTAAAACATATTATGGACTGGCTTCATGAAGAAATTAGCAAGTGAGATGATGTGCGTTCAGTTCAGGGGATCACACTGGGGATCATCACTGATCCTTCTGACCTTTAAATCTGGAATAGAATAAATCTGGAAACGTTATCTATCTCCACACTGTAACCATTCCAGACTGAAGTTCCTACACGGTCTAAGTTAAATATTCTGATGGTTATGATAGAGTCTCAGCGTTCATATTTCTTCATGTATTTGCCTCAGAGTCTCCCAAGTTCCTCAGTTTCATTCTAGGATCAAGCCCTGAGGCTTCATATATACATCAAGTCAGAGACTGTATTTATGGTATATCTTGTACGGTACATACCTATCATGCCACCAGGACTTGAGTAATTGCAGTAAAGTTGCAAAAATATACTTGAGCTACTATTAAAATGCATACAGCTGTCACCAGAGCAGATAGCTCATGAGTTTCTGTCTGCCTTGTAAGCCGGAGTACAAGAATTATGTTTTTATTAGTCAAACCACACTCTGAAAATAATTTCCCTTCATTAATTTTTCATTGTAGCTATGATCAGTGGAATCCCTTACACCACTGTGCTGCTGCGATGTCTGTGGAAGAGATGACTGCAGTGTCCAGGCTAAGAAGAGACTGGTGTATCCAGTCTGATGGATGAGGAGTATCAGATGAGGAGTCGAGCTAATAATAAAGGAGTTATTGCCCCTAGACCCCAAAATGTCCTCTAATTCCATCTTATTTCTTGTGTGAAGTCAAACACACACAGGAAACTACTCATGTGATCCCGTGTGGGCATCTGAGTCAGCTGCAGAAGCCAGCAGCTGAGCTCTGCGCTGCACCGGTGCTGTGGTGGGAGAGAGCGAGGTTCCAGCCAGCCCTGGGGGCTGCACAGTGGCACCTGAGTGAGGAAGTCCTGCTGGATCAAACTAACCATGCAGACCAGCAAGAGGGACAGTGGCACAAGCTGTCTAGTTTACAGTAAACCAGTTCGAACTGATGAGGACTTGACTGTAGAAATTTTGGAGTGGCTAGTTCAGATAGGGCACTCCCACTTTAATCCCCATGTCATCCAAGTCTGCTAAGAACAAATAAAAATTTTTAGAGTTTCTGACATGCTGTGTCTACTTACACGATGGATTGTACAATTAATAAATGGGAAAATTGAAGGGATGTGCAATTAAGGTAGTAGGATGACTTATTCTTTCAGCCTAGCACACCAGGCATTCAGCCCATGTATGTGTTCCTTTTCTATTAAAACCTGAATTTTTTTACAAAATTTCGAAATTCTTTATCAACCCCTAAAAATGCTTATTTTACCAAAAAGTGAAATATTTCTTGTCGGAGGTTTAAATATTATGTCTTGAAATCTTTATATCTATTTTCTGGTTTTGACTTGAGATAGTTAATTTTTTTGACAGTAGGTAGTATAAGGCTGTGTTTTGGATTTGTTGGAAACAGTGTTGGTAACACAGGGATGTTTTAGCTGTCACTGAGCAGTGCTCACACAGGCTTAGGGCCTTTTCTGCTTCTCATTCCACCCCACCAGGGAGGAGGCTGGAGGACATAAGAAGTTGGGAGGGGACTCAGCTGGGACAGTTGACCCTAAGTGATCACAGAAATATCCCATATGGCATCATGCTCAGCAGATGAAGCTGGGAGAAGAAGGAGGAAGGAAGGGATGTTCAGAATGATGGTGTTTGTCTTCCCAAGTCACCATTACATATGATGGAGCCCTGATGTCCTGGAGAATGGCTGAACACCTGCCTGCTCAGAGGAAGTGGTGAAAGAATCCCTTGTTTTGCTTTCCTTGTGAACACAGCGTTTGCTTCCCCTAATAAGCTGTTTCTGTCTCAACCCATGAGTTCACTTACTTTTACTCTTCCTATTCTTTCACCCATCCCACTGTGGAATGTGAGTGGCTGGATAGGGCTTAGTTGCAAGCTGGGTTTAAACCATGACTATATATATGTATATGTATGTGTGTAATCTGAACCAGTTGGACTGTTTTTCCTACTCCACATCCTCGCTTGAGACACCTCTGGTGGGCTTCCTTGCTGGCTATGTGCCAAGGCCTACCCTGGTCCCACAGTTTTCTGTCTCCTCTTGGTGGACTGACTTGCCTGCTGCTGCTTCTGTGTTAGGTTGCAGAGCTGGGCAGCAGCACGCTTTGTCAGCAGACAGTGGTGCTCCCTGGGGTCAGGGCCAGGACAAAGCACAGGAAACACACCAAGGAGCATGAGACAAACTGTAAATGACTCTATTTGCATCAAATCTATTTGTGCAAGCAGCTGCTAGACATACTTCCTCCTTGAAAGGCTGGTATCAGTGGTATTACCATGTGGATAAAGAGTGCTAATTTTTTAAAGAGATTGATGGGATTTGTGGTGAAGCTGCAGCCCACCATGGCACAGGCAGAAGAGACCTCCACTCTAACACTAACCTGGAGGGGAAGTCTTGAACTGTAGTGTCATGTTTCTCCTCTCCTTCTGTCTGTCCAAGTGTTTTTAATAAGGTATGATTTTTCAGCCTGAGCACAGCAGTAGACAGTCTGAGCTTTCTGGAGCTGAGCTGGCATACAGGGACTGTACTTCTGGCTCCAGTTAGGATGAGTGGGGCCAGCTCAGATATCTCCAATGTAGTGTACAGGTCTAAATCTTTAGACTTAACCCCTGTGTTCACAGTGCATGTTGTCTCTGGTAGTCAGCAAGACAGAGATCTGCATCTCTTCTGAATAGAAGGTGCACCTAATATTTTCAGAAATGTTCCTACTTCCATTAAAACCCAGTCTTGTGACGTTACTCAGATTAAAAGGAAGGTTTTGATTCCTGGCTATGAAGTAAGTAATATGAGACCTACGCCTCTTGGAGAGAATGTTGCCACCATGATACCCCAGAGGTTTCCTTTCCTCTTTTCCAATGCCCAGGGCTGAAGCTGAGTACTTATTGAGTGACTGATGGGTGTTATGTCAGCCTTGGTTCACTGCACCACCAGTGCAGTGTAGAGGCTGTGCAGAGAGAGACCTCAAACACCCTGGTTGTAGCAGAAACTATAAAGGGAAACAAGTCCAAGGCATTTGTGGGCTTTCTGCCCACCAGGATCTTATGGAAATGTATGGTTTTCACCTTGTTTTTCGAGGCTAGTGTGATATTGATACCTTTTCTTCTGTGAAAGTATTTTTCACAGTGCTTAGATTTATGCATGAAATTATCCATTTGGAGGAGCAGTCCGATCAATTACAAAGGTAATCCTTCACTGATGGGAACTGAGAAGGCTCTCTAATGCTTGCTCTGCAAGGCTTACCAGACTTATCACTTATTCTGGGACAGAATTTTATGGACAGCCAATTTCACACTTCCTAATTTAACCACATCAGCATGTCTTAAATCTGTCTTAAGCTGTAGCTGTTCTAAAATCTTTGGTGTTGATAAATATCTCAGTCTGCTTCCCATGAACGATATTAGCAGCTTTCTCTGACATTCACATTCAGTCAGATTATAAAAGTAAAACATCATCTAAAATATGTGAAAACAGCTCTTTCCAGACTATTTAGAAACAGTACTTCAAGGCTGTTCTGGTAAACATGTAAAAATCGTTCCTCCAAGAACTTTCAGTAAACTGCCACTTAAAAAGGAGAGAAGCACCTCCCTCTGTGCTGTTCTTGGTGCTAAAATGCAGGAAGTCAGTGGCAGGTCCAATCTCCAGCATGGTCCCTATTACATGAGCACTTGAGTGCCAGGCCAGGGGCACCGTTCACCAAGGAGCACCAATGTAGGCTTTTGTAAAGCTCTGGCTACAAGAGAAGGTAAAATTTGGCTGGGTACATCCCTGCCATGTTTGGGTTAGGGTGTTCCAGTGATTTCTGACTGATAATGTTGTGAGCAAGAACAAACTTGGGCACAGAGTGATGCAAAGAGACCTACAATACAAGACAGTCAGATGCCACATTCTCCATCCAGTTTTTTGGAGGCAGGCCTGTGTACATAAGCAGGCCTATGTGTAACCAAAATATTAACATATATGGAATAGATATTATGATTTTGGCTGTATGGTCAAATTACTTGCCAAATTTCCAGTAGTTTAATCATGATCTAATTTGAAATAATTAAATAAAGTATGTTGTTTTTAGAACTACTTTCTTATCTCTAGGGCTGTGAATATCATTGCAGTCATAGCTAGAATAGTTTTTTATAATAACCTGTAAGTTTAAGTGGCAAAATTTACAAAATGCTCTGTAAACAAAAGTCACCAAAGCAGATTGCTAACTTTTGATCCTCAGCTCCATCCCAACAGTTGTGCCATAAGGTGATGTGGAAACCACGGGTTTAAACTTGTTAAGCTTTTATAAAATTGACCTGTAAAGTTTAAATCCAGGCCTGTATCTAAAATTCAACTCAATCCGTGTTACATCTTCTACCAGATTCCTGACTGATGAGGATTCTTGACCTAGAAATCTAGGTCTGATTTGCTAGTGAGATCTTAAACCAATACACAAATCAACCACAGGCCATATGAGGGAAAAGTATGGGGTTGAGTGGAAATGTAGGGACATGTGTTTTATATTTGGTTTAGTTCGTTAGAAAACAGTATGCTCTTGACTTTTGGTCAATTAAAAACATAAAATAATGGAACATGATGGAAATTTACAATTCAGATTTTATTCTGCATTTCTTGTACAGATTCCTTATGATAAAATATCAGAATTGTAGTACCCACTTTTCTAAAATCAGTTGCTTCAAATATCTTTGAGTCTAAACAACCATGATGTAATAACTCTAATAAATGGACACGTGCAAACTTACAAGCTTAGAACTTTCGTTTAAACTAAGGAACTCTCTTTGGCTTCAGCTAGCAAGAGCCTGGGCTTTGTTAATCAGATTTTTCTTGTATTCTTAAAATTGTATTTGTAGTCAGTTTCATTTGATTATGTTTTTGATTTGTCCAAACGGCAGATGGATATGATAGAGTCTGTATTTAACTTGGCACTTTCCATTCCGCATTCCTTTACTATTCATAGCACAGCAGACATACCCATCTCCAGTAGACATAAAAGGAGGCAGTCCAACTTGCAGCTGCAGTTCCCCTCAAATGTGTGAGTATTTACAAACTCACAGCATTATTTCTTTTTAATGTTGAGAAGACCAGATACTAGATATAGTGGGTGGATATTTTTTCATCTCTGCCACTCTCATGAAAGAGTTGAACAGAAACTAAACCTGTGTCTGTAGTAAAAGGAACCTCTTCACTTAAAATTAGATTCATGTAGAGCACATGTTCTTACAGAGAGAGTGGGACTATACACAGGCAGAAAAATTTGCTCTTGAAGAGAGAGTTGTGGAATCTCAGCCTAAATTGTCAAGCAACATGAAGAATAAAATACTCATCTGATTGAATAACAAGACTACCTAAAATGCATAAGAATAAAGGCATTTGTGTAAGAGTAATGTCTTTTTATTACCAGGTTTCACAATGAAGAATTTGATCCTTTTCAGCATTTGTAAGCAAAAATTTTTTTCTTCAGTTGATAACATAGTGGAAAATGTTAAACAAAACCAATTTTCTAAAATGTCTTTAAATGTTTTCTTTTAAATTAATTTGTCTTTGACAGAAAGTATAATTTCTACTTACTGTGTTTTCAAGCAAATATAGTCAGTGATTATTCTTTTTTCTTACAGTTTCAAATATGCAATACACCTCTAAAAATAGTCTCTCAAGGCTTGTTTTGGTATACAAGCTTGAACTGTGGAAATAGAGATTTTTTTCTTGATAGTATTTTTCAGTTTGTATGCTTTTCCAAAGAGAAGACTTTGATTTCAGAAATTAGAAAGCACCTTTTTTGCTACTTAAATTAAATTTCCATAACTTGTCTATTGCCCACAACTCAAAACTAACTTACAACTTGTCTATTGCTTCTTTAATCTTTATGACTATGTATGACAAATGCTTATTTCTTTAGAAATACAACTTCTCCTACTTAATTCAAAAATATACTTTATTTTTAATGTATTATAAAATAGATTTTTTTTTTCTCCTGCTGAGACTAGCCTAAGTTTGCTACTCTTCAGGCAGCCTGGATTTCCAACATATATGTAGCTGGAGGCAAACAGTCTAACATTCACATCAAACAATAAACTCAGCATACTGAAAAACATATGCAAAGGCTTTCCTTTACTGTAATATAAATACAGCCACATGCTTACCACACTCTACAGCGTTGCATGAATGATATTACTTTGTTATATTAATTAAGAATGATTTTATCTCACCAATTACTACAGACAAGGTTCTAATTCTTTCCCACCGAGTTCTTCATTTCAACAACCAAAATGCCATCATGGCAGAAAAGTGCAGACAAGTCTTTGTTCTCCACCCCGTCAGGTAATTTGTACTGTCTGGTAAAGCTTCTGGATATGAAACCGTGTTCATCCATCCTGGGTCCGTGTTGAGCTTTAATCAGGAGCCAGCCTTCGAAAGTCTGGATAATGATATCTTCGGGACGGAACTGCACAACATCCAGCAAGACCTGGAAGCGTGTGTTTTCCTCCTCCTGGCCACTCTCCCCTGCCCCAGTCGTGCTTTCCGTGGTGCGTCTTTGGTTGCTCAGTGCTGCTGTAGCAGGGCCTGGCAAAGCGTATAAAAGGTGGTTCAGTTTGTGTGTTTCCAGCTCTTGGTCAGCAAAGTGCTCCTGGTAGCGTACAGGAGTTTCCACCCAGTGTCTTATAACAGCTTCTGCCATGGCTGAGGCAGAAAGATCAGCTGCTACTCCTGCTGCCTTGGGAAGCTGCAGAGTCAGAGTGAGCCCTTCCCAGCCGTACGCCTCACCCACAGACTAGTCTATTAGTGGATGTCGCCTTTCACTTTTAGAACAGGCGAAGCTTAACATTTAATACAGCATCCTGTGCTCCAGTGCTGGGAGACTTGTTTCGTCTTTTATCCACTAACAATAGAGCACTATTTATAGTGCTGAGGCCTTGAGTGGCTTCAGCACATGCACAGCTTTCATGCATGACTAGTAAAAGCAAAATTTTAATGCACCTCAGATTATTGCAATATTATTTTGTTTATCATTATAAATAATGAGCACAAAAATAATATCTGATCGCAGGGCAAATAATGTCTGCAAGGGTAAATAGCTAAGAGAAAAGTGCAGTGAAAAGGGAAAAGCATTTCTAAATTTTAGCGTGTTTGCTAGAAAATCCCTATAGCTGGGCTTGGTAATGTAAAGCAGAATGTGTTGTGGCAACTGATCGTGAAAATTGTTTATTTCATTTATTAGTGCAACAATAGTTGCCCTAATGCTAGAAATAATCAAACAAGATACTTTTATTCCTTCTTGTTTGGCTATTCTTGTTTAGAGTTCTATTTCTTGTCCTTACATGTTCCATTACCATGGAAATGGCAAGTCAATTCAAATGGGATTTTTGGTTCCTAATGGAGTAATGAAGAAAGATACTTATTAAATTATTAAATTTTGATAATTATCAGAAATTAACTCCTTTATTGAGTTCATAGCAGAGCAGGATTACCAGATGTATCTATAATTGAAGCTCTATGTTTGCTATCTTATTTTAAACCCATAAAGGCTACATAGCAATGTAAGGAAATTTTCAAAAGTTAAAGATAACTTACATCAATGCATTTAATTGAGTATTGTGAGAAATGAAAGTTATACTACTTTATTGGCTTCTTCTCCTGTTAAACTGCCCTCCAGAAATAATTTAAAAATGCTATTCTGGATGTTTGACTGACTGAAATTATAATAAAAACAACCTGGAGCATTGCCTGTTATCTGTTTGGCAGCTGTTTTCTGTTTTGCTAGCAAATTATTTACTTGATGAGGAAAACTTTAACCCTAAAGTGAAGCAGTATGCCTGGCTGGTTGTGATATTATACTTAAACATATTGCTGAAAACTATTGCTGTTCCTACTGAATTCCGTGATGATAACCTGACTTATTTCACTTCAGTTTCGCACTTCATTAATAAATGCACTGTGGAGGAATATAACTTTTTTTATTCACATAATCTCTGGAAAAAGGTAAACTTGCCCATACTTTATCTTAAAACACAAATCACCATCTCAGTGCAAGTCACTATGAGACAGCTGTATCTATTCCCAGAAGCAGCTGCGTTAGTCTTTCAAATGTCTATGTTAAGCATACTTGGAACTGTCTGTCTGCTATAATTAGCATGAAAGATGCTTTGAATACCCTTTAAATTCATGTCATATGCAAAACGCTGCAGAAGTTCATAGGATCCCTTTCTACTCTGTATGATAAGGAATCAGAAAGATTTTGGAAATGAAGCCTTCCCATCCTGCCCTCTCCTCTGTTGCAGTCTCTTCTCTCAGTTTACCTCCGGTAGGCTCAGGAATTAGCATCGTGCTTCTTATCTCTTTGTTACTAACATGGGGAATATGACAAGTGGAAAAAGCAAACCCCCCTGAAATGTAAACATCGATTTAGAATATGTTTTTGGGCTTTCAGATTTAAACATGGTTGCAGTGCTGCAATACCGAGGCACTTCTGATGCTTATGGTGCTGTACTCTTCAAGTATCTATAGCAGGATTTGGTTTGGAAATGCATTTTAATAGCAATTGATTACTGTGGTAATTTTAAACCTTCAGAGCTGATCCGTTAGGAGCAGGATCGATGTTCTAAATCTCCCAGGTCGATGCCCCAGGTTTTGTTTCCCGGTTTTACTGTGTACACAAAGGCCTCTCTCCGTACTGCCCAGCGAGCAGGAATCCACCGGCTGGCATGACAAAGTACAGCAGAGCACCCGGGCAGCTCCTCACGGCGGCCGTGCCCCCGCCGGGCCCTGCTCTCTCTCGCTGACCACACGTGTTCATTGTCTCCCAATCTCCTGCGGGTTTCGGAGATCAGGGCCGGGATCCGGCCGGCAGCGTGCGGAGCCGGGATCAGCGGGGCGCAGCGGCATCTCCTGGAGGGAACGGGGAACAGCTGCCGAGGAAGAGCCGCCGGCGCGGGCGCCGCCACCTGCCTGTGGAACAGTGCCCTGGGAACGCGCTTCTGCGGGAGGAAAAGCGGGATTTAACTTACAGCGCGCTATTTTCACGCTAGTATAAGTCTCAGTATTTTGGAAGCGGGGTGGTGGTGGGATAAATATTTGATCCATGAATTCTGAGTTGCATCAAAAGCAGCGTGGCGAGCAGACCGAGGGAGGTGATTCTCCCTCTCTGCTATGGTGAGACCCCCCCTGGAGTGCTGCATCCAGCTCCGGAGTCCCCAGCATAAGATGGGCATAGATCTGCTAGAACAGGTCCAATGGAGAGACATCAAGATGGTCACAGGGCTGGAGAACCTCTCCTCTGGGGATAGGCTGAGGGAGTTGGGGAGCTGGGGTTGTTCAGCCTGGAGGAGAGCAGGCTCCAGCACCTTCCAGTATGTAAAAGGGGCTTTACAAGAGAGCTGGTGAGGAATTTTTGGCAAGGGTATGTAGTGATAGGACAAGACGGAATGGCCTCAAACCGATGAGAATAGGTTTAGATTAGGTATTAGGAAGAAAATCTTTACTGCGTGGGTGGTGAAGCATTGGAACAGGTTGACTGGAGAAGCTGTGGATTCCTCATCCCTGAAAGTGTTCAAGGCCAGGTTGGGTGTGGCTTTGAGCAACCTGATCTACTGGGTGGCATCTCTGCTTATGGCAGGGGACTTAAAACTAGGTAGTCTTTCAGATCTTTCATGTTCCCTTCCAATCCAAGCCTTTTTTGGATTCTGTGATGCTGTGAAATATAGACAGCAGGCATCCTGGTAAAGCTGTGTTGTAAATTGTAAAAATGTAACATGAATAAAGTAATGAGAATAATGCATATTTTTGATGCATGTTTTAAAGAAAATCAGGTTCACGCTGCTTGGCACAACTTTAAAATAATAAATTGCCCTGTCACAATCCTTGGTGTGCTTGATTCCCCAAAGAGAAATTTGTTTTTTAGCTACCACTGAAATTCAGTAACAGCTGAAAAGGGAAAAATGTGAAAAGGCTGGCACGATGAAGTGAACGAGAACTCTTACAGCAGAAGCTAATGGGCTAATTTCAAATCAGTCATATAATTATCTAAATGAATTTCGGTGGAGCTCTGCAGTTACTTTTACCAAAGCAACCAAGGATCTACTCATGATCTACTTCCTGTGTCATTCAAAAGAGATATTGCCTCTTCAGACTTTGCAATACATATGAAATGTAAGGAAGGGTAAGACTTAGTGAGTTTTACTGTGCTGTCTATTACACCCAATATGGGAATATAAGCTCTGTTGTGATACCAAAAAGCTAGATAGTAAATAAAATATATGTGAGATTGGAATGGGGTGACACGTAGAGAAACTCAATGGTAAAGAGTTCCACGCAGTATTTAATATATTTGTTTAGAGTGAGGAAGTTACTGTCTCCTACTTCCATCCCTTTGAGTCCATTGCTCCTTAGAACTATGAGCTGTCTTTTTAGCTGAATTGTTAGATCTAGAGATATGTAAACTCTGAAGGAATCAACAGTGTAACCACAAGTCCTGCAAATGCCTAATCAGCAAATACTGAGTGTTCTGTTTTCAAAAAATATTGAGGGATTTTTTTTTTTTTTAGTAACGTCTCATTCCAATCCAACATGCTGTTTATATTGTTTATATTGGTCGGTGAATCACAGCATAACTCTTTCTGCAGCAAGACTTTGTGCTGTGTTGTAAAAATTCTTGCAAATAGTAAAGGCTGTGTTGTTACATAGCCAGCTTTACTGAAGGGAGGCTTCAGTCTGTGGGTCATGTCCTTCAAAACCTGGAAAAGGCTAGATCTGCCCAAACTCCTGGAAAATCTCTCCAGGGCACTGATGCTCTCTTGTAACTGTTAACTCAATGTCCTAATTTTAGGGGCCTTAAGAAGTGGAAAACTAATCCCAGCTTTTGCACTAAGGATTCTTTGCTCATTTTTTAGGAAGCAATGTAAGAAATATAAGTAATAATGGAATGGACTATCATTTTTACACATTACAACTACTATTAGAAGATTTTTTTTACACGTTCCAATGATAGAAGAGCAGATGAAGGATGAGGATGGAGGATGACAGGACCACAGCAGCTGCTGTTCGAGCAACGTCTTTACAGAACAGTGAAGGAATAAAAATGCAATTTGTGTAACAATGATTTTAAAATTTCAAGTTACTATAATAGTTATTTTAAAGTGATGTCATAGAACACTTTACCTGTATTTGCTTTGTTTTTCACATGGCTGATTTTTAAACGTTTCTATGTCTGCTATAGGCAAATGCATTTGTGCCTCACAAATGCTTGAAGAACTTCCATGGAAAGCAAACTCTTTAGAGTTAATAATATTATATCTTTAGAGATAAAAATCTGTTTAATTCTTGCAGAGAGAACAGTTGAGAGAAAATGAACAATTAAAACAGGATAATGTGCCTAAGGACTGGAAAGCTCTGTTTTGCCATTGCAAGTCAGAATCTAATGCACTCTTGCTGTAGAAACAGTCTTACTTTTCACCAGTTAAAAATCAACTAGTGTTCCAAGAAGAATGCCAGTTTTCAGGTTTCTTCCTCTTCAGCCACCCTGAAGTCTTTACTTTAGACTTGATAGGAATAACTCAAGGCAGTGGAGTACAGTAAGACTGGTGTATTTATTTTAGATCTATTAAAACTTCATAGCTATGCTCACATGCATATTTAGCAAGTGAAACTCCTATTCCATGGATTTACAGCTTCAGGCTTGCATGTTTTGAGGTTGACCACTTTAATAAACATAACACAAGTACTCACCTATGAAATTCTGGAAGTAGCAATATTTTTGCTGTTTAAAATTATGTACTAAGGCTTCTTGGAGTAAGGGCTTGATAATCTAGGACCCACATTACACATAAAACATGCTAACCTGTAATTAGCACAAA